CCACCTACTCCAACTTCACCACGGAGCAGCGCCGCGGGTTGGACGCGATCACCCTCGCGCTCCACAACCTCCAGCTGCGGGGACAGGCCGTGGGCGGCCGCGGTGGCCGAGGTGCGCGCAGCGACGCCGATGGCGGCCGCTCCTCCGTGGACGATGAGACAGCCAGTGAGGCAACGAGTGCAGCGACCACGGGCGCCCTCAGCGGTCATGGAGGCAAGCGCCGCCGCCGACGCAGCAACGAGGCCGCCTACGGCTGGGCCCCCCCACCGAGCGGCGGCGCACCTGCCGCGCTCGAGGACGCCGAGATGATGGCGGACGAGGACTACGCCGAGGCGGGCTACGTCCACTGCATGGGTGCATACTGGGCCCCGCCGCGGCGCCTTGGCCGGTGTCGGGTGTGCGCAGAGCTGGGCGACTGGAAGATCATGATGGTGGAGTATGTGGACGAGCTCAGTTGTGGCGAGATGCGCCGCTGCGCTGAGGCTTCAGGGCGCAACCAGCAATGCCCCGAGCTGCGGAAGGGTGCTCAGGGCCAATGCAAGCTATACACGTGCTCGCGCTGCGTGGCGGCGACGCAGAACATCGCCGAGCACGAGGCAGTGACGCGCGCAGCGCGCCTGAACAAGGGTGCTCGCTCCATCGACCACGCCGCCAAGCGAGTGGCGAAGTTCCGCGCGAGCTTCGACCGCATCAAGGAGGGCGTGGACGTGCTGGTGGGGTTCGCGCTCTCCGAGGAAGGCTCGCTTGTCCTGCGGAGGTCAACGGAGGGCGTCGGGGTGGGCATCGATCCCGAGAGCACGGGCGCCCCCCCAGCCACGGAAACGGTGGCGGAGGAGGTCAGTCGCCCGATGGCGATGGTGGTGGGGGTGGTGCCGGGGCCGCCCCGCGCGCCACCTCCACCCCTCGAGGATGGACCTGGCCCCGCAGGCCCTCCCCGTGGCGATGAGAGCGACCCCCCGCCCGACAACGATGCTGAGGATCAGGGGCGCCAGCTGACCGACGTCAAGACCGTGGAGGAGGTCACGGATATCGAGCCCCTGCTGCGGCTCGGCCTCTCCAAGAAATCGCTGAAGCGTATGGCGCGGGCCTGTGGCGTCCCCAAATTCGAGGCCATGCGCGCCCGCGTGCTTGGAGGCCTGGGGCCCATCCTGGAGAAGAAGGGGGACATGGTGAGGGGCGCAGAGGCGCAGGACGGGGTCCAGAAGTGGCTGGGCGCGCTGAATGAGGAGACAGAGGATGATGTGGGAAGGCTGAAGAAGGGCCTCCTGGAAGCCTCGGGGGTTGCGGACGCACACCTGGGACGCAAACGTGCCTGGAAGGAGGAGTGCCAGGGCAACGCCGCGGCGCAGGAGGCCTACCGACGCATGGGCGACTACACGGACCAGTTCCACCGTGGCAAGGGCATCACGTTCAACATGTACTACAAGTGCTTGGCCAACAAGACCTGGGACAATCCCAGGGGATGCTGCTCGGTGATCCGCTCGGATCGCTGGGCGCAACTGCTCACCTGCGCGCAGGAGGCGGCGGGGGAGACAGGCCAGCGCTGGTGCTGCCATTGTGGTGCGCGCTACGCGACCTCCTACGGCGTCTGCATCGAGTTGATAGAGGAAGAGCAGAACCCGCCACGTGCGTATTACATGCACGCGGAACACCCCGAGGATGACATCCGCGACTTGAAGGCCCTGCTGCGCTACGACAAGCTCAAGAAGGAGGGGGTAGCGGTGTTCAGCGCTGTGGGCCTCTTGAAGCACCTGCCCAAGGTCGAGCCGTTGGCGGTGGGCACCGTCTTCAAGCGCTACGCTCCACACCAGCCGCAGTGGGAGGGCCACTATGTGCTAATGGAGGGGCTCTCCTGGGAGAGCCTGACCGAGTTCAAGTGGGCCGACGCCTGGGGGCTGAACGACCCAGAGTGGGCGGGCTACACCAAGAAGCAGAGGAATAGGGCCTAGAGGGAGCGCCTGGAGACTGCGTACAGGGAGCCGGCGCTCTACGAGCGCCGCCACAACCTGCAGGAGGGCAGCCTCACGGGCGGCGGGGGTGGTACACGGGTCGCCCCGCGTGCCGCCCCCGCCCGCGCCGCCAGCGCCCCTCCAGCTGGCGTGGCCCGCGGCAGCCGGGGCCCGCCGCCGCCGCCTGCTGGGGCCCCGCCAGCGGCCATCATGGCCCCGCCGCCGCCGCCGCTGACGGCGCCCCCTGTGGTGCCGCCGCCGCCGACGGACCCGCCGCCGCCGACGGGCCCGCTTCCGCAGCAAATCCCTAATGTTGCTGCCCTGAACGTGGCCCTCGGCGAAGATCTCGAGCGCCAGATCTTTGGGCCCCCAGGGCAGGCGGGCGGCAGTGGCGACCTCGGGGGAGAAGTGCAAGCGCTGCCGTCGCAGGTCTTTGCAGCCATTGCGCAAGGATCAGGCCAGCCCGCCTGAATGACGAAACCCAGCAAGCCCACAGCGTTGGGTACTTCTAAGCCCTCGGGGGGGCCACGTGAGTCCATGCCAAGATCTCGTGCCTGCCACTCTCAGAGGTGCTGAACCTGTAGCCCTGCTTACGCCCTAGCTGTAGCAACGCCGCCTCGCCCGCGAGCGCGGTGTGCCCAAAGTGTGCCCCCCTCGCGCCGCGGCCCCTGTTGCTTAAGCCTCCGCTCTGCGCGCGGTCATCTGTGCGCCTAGCCGCTCTGGCTGGCCAATTGGCTTGCCATCTCGGCCTACTCTCGCGCCTACTTGCGCTCGGGAACCTCGCTGGCGGTGCTGGGGTCGCCCCGCGTGCTGCCGCGACGCCGCTGGGCGCCTAGCCATTTTGGCTTGCCATCCTGGCCTCCTCTCGCGCCTACCTGCGCTAGTTGGCCTCGATGGCGGTGCTGGGGTCGCCCCGTGTGCTGCTGCGCCGCCGCTGTCGCTTTACTTTGGGCCGTCGGGACCAGCTGCCTTCGGATAAGCGCCCGCCGCTGCGTGCGCGTCAGACCCGCCCTTTCACCCAGCAGAGGTGCCCGCTACGTACTGGAAATGAGGCAGCCACAAGGGCGCTCTTCCCAAGATGGTTGAGCCGTGGTGATGTGGTGCACGAGACCGCCGGTAGTAGTAGTAGTAGTAGTAGTAGTAGTAGTAGTAGTAGTAGTAGTAGTAGTAGTAGTAGTACTAGTAGTAGGAGTAGTAGCTGTAGTCGTAGTCGTAGTCGTAGTCGTAGTCGTAGTCGTAGTCGTAGTCGTAGTCGTAGTCGTAGTCGTAGTCGTAGTCGTAGTCGTAGTCGTAGTGGTAGCAGTAGTAGTAGTAGTGGTAGTAGTAGTAGTAGTATTATGAGTAGTAGTAGTAGTAGTAGTAGTAGTAGTAGTAGTAGTAGTAGTAGTAGTAGTCGTAGTAGTCTTAGTACTAGTAGTAGTAGTAGTAGTAGTAGTAGTAGTAGTAGTAGTAGTAGTAGTAGTAGTGGTAGTAGTAGTAGTAGTAGTAGTAGTAGTAGTAGTAGTAGTAGTAGTAGTAGTAGTAGTAGTAGTAGTAGTAGTAGTATAGTAAGGTAGTAGTACTAGTAAAAGTGGTTGGTGGTGTAGTAGTAGTAGTGTCGTCGTAGTCGCAGTTGTAGTCGTGTAGTAGTATTAAGTAGTAGTAGTAGTAGTAGTAGTAGTAGTAAAAGTATTAGTAGTAGTTGTAGTCGTAGTTAGTAGTGTAGTAGTAATATAAAGTAGTAGTAGTAGTAGTAGTAGTAGTAGTAGTAAGTAGTAGTAGTCGTAGTCGTATCGTAGTAGTAGTAGTAGTAGTAGTAGTAGTCGTCGTAGTAGTCGAGCAGTCAGTAGTAGTGTAGTGTAGTAGTGGGTAGTCGTCGTCGTAAGTCGTAGTCGTAGTAGTCGTAGTCGTCGTAGTAGTAGAGTAGTAGTAGTAGTAGTAGTAGTAAGTAGTCGTAGTCGTAGTCGTAGTGGTAGTCGTATTCGTAGTAGTAGTAGTAGTAGTAGTGGTAGTAGTAGTAGTCGTACCAGTAGTAGTGGTAGTAGTAGTAGTAGTAGTAGTAGCAGCAGTAGCAGTAGTAGTAGTAGTAGTAGTAGTAGTAGTAGTAGTAGTAGTCGTAGTAGTAGTAGTAGTAGTAGTAGTAGCTGTAGTCGTAGTCGTAGTCGTAAACGTAGTCGTAGTTGTGGTCGTAGTCGTAGTCGTAGTCGTAGTCGTAGTCGTAGCAGTAGTCGTAGTAGTAGTTAGTAGTAGTAGTAGTAGTAGTAGTAGTAGTAGTAGTAGTAGTAGTAGTAGTAGTAGTAGTAGTAGTAGTAGTAGTAGTAGTAGTAGTAGTAGTAGTAGTAGGTAGTAGTAGTAGTAGTAGTAGTAGTAGTCGTCCGTCGTCGTCGTCGTCGTCCGTCGTCGTCGTCCGTCGTCGTAGTAGTAGTAGTAGTAGTAGTAGTAGTAGTAGTAGTAGTAGTAGTAGTAGTAGTAGTAGTAGTAGTAGTAGTAGTAGTAGTAGTAGTAGTAGTAGTAGTAGTAGTAGTAGTAGTAGTAGTAGTAGTAGTAGTAGTAGTAGTAGTAGTAGTAGTAGTAGTAGTAGTACTAGTAGTAGTCGTAGTAATAGTAGTAGTAGTAGTAGTAGTCGTAGTAGTAGTAGTAGTATAGTAGTAGTAGTAGTAGTAGTAGTAGTAGTAGTAGTAGTAGTAGTAGTAGTAGTAGTAGGAGTAGTAGTAGTAGTATCTAACTGCATACTTGTCATTCGTAGTACTATTATCATTATGATTTGGATTATCGTGCTTACTATCAAACTTATCACCATTCTTAGTATTGATTGATGCGTTACTATGTTTTGGTTTATGATTAATGTCAATATTTTTTTTATTATCATTCGTATTCGTCTGATTATTGTTACCAGTATTTGTATTCGTGCCGTTCTGATTCTTGTTGATCGTGTTGGTATCAGCCTTGTTTTTTGTTCTTATTCTTCATGTGTCATTGATGCTGGTATTTTTTCTACTTACATTTTTTCCCCCGTCGCCCGGCTCTCAGGGCACGCTGCAGTGGTGGGTCTCCGCGCGCCCCCCGCCCGAGGAGGCCGACGAGTCGGCGGCCGCGCGGGCGTCCGACGGCGCCGGGGGCCGTCTCGCGGCCCGCGCCCTGCTGGTGCTGCTCCTGCTGCTGTTCCACGACCCCGGGGCGCACCCGAAGGCGGGGGCCCGGGCGGTCTGCGACTCGAGCCGTGGCCGATGAGCGATGTGCACGCTGCAGCTCTTTGGGGCGGATGCGCGGTTTTTCGGCTTCGTCTCGACATCTGGAGCATCTGCAGCGGTTCAGCGTAGACGCATGGGTTCAGCAGCAGCATAAGCTCCCGTTGGCGTGGTCCAAAAACTTGAGATCGGTTTGCTCCCACGGCGAGTGGGCAAACCATGCGGAACCCCTCCGCCCTCGAGCCGCGAAAAAGCATCACGACGCGAGGTCTTTCGCTGTCTGCGGCCTCGGGGGGCCCTTCCCGGGCCGCGGGGCTCCGTGGGTGCGGGCCGCATTGGGCTCCTCCTGGGCCTGGACTGCTGCGCGCGTGGATTGGGCGCCCCCGTTCGGGCGACGAGATCTATACCCTGACCCCCTCGAGTCATGACAAAAGTCACGACGCGAGGTCTTCCGCTAGTTTCGGCTTTTGGGGGCCCTTCCAGGGCCGCGGCACCGTCAGAAAACGACTCAGGATGAAAAACCTGTCCCGGGGAAGGGGTCGAGACCCCTGGGGGTCGACGTCATGAAAACGTCATGCCGTGGGGGGTTTGGGTACATCTCCACTGCTCCCTGGCCAGGCCCATTTTTTACTCAGGAGCCGTGTACACGCAATCCTGGTCAAGCCAGGAGGGCGTGGCGTCTGCACCGCTGCTTGGCTGAGGCTGCGCCTGGCCAGGGAGCGGTGGATATGCATAGATCTCGCCGCCCTATCCGTGCCCTCCTGAAGCCTCGCGCCAGGGGTCACTGTCGCCATCAGGGTCGCTCTCGTCGTCGTCGTCGTCGTCGTCGTCGTCGTCGTCGTCGTCGTCGTCGTCGTCGTAGTCGTTTTCTCCTCCCTCCTCCCGCCTCCCTCCTCCCTCCTGGACAAAACCCCCACCTCGACACGTCGATTAGCGAATTGTCTGTTTTCGGCTCTCGAGAGGGCGCCGCGGCCGTCATTTTCGGCCCGAGGTCGTTTTCACTAAACCACGTTTTACTAAAGGGATTTCTGTCCATCCCTGAACTATGTGTGCGTCGCCCCTCCAGGGGCGACGCGCGCACCGAGAAATCTGATAGTAGATTCGTCGTGGCGGGCGCTTTCTGGCCGCACCGCTCGGGAAATGATCTACTACAAGATGGTTATACTGTATGTTCGGGTCGGACGCACGCCTTCGAGGAGGACATATAGTACTAGCATGTCAGTGTGAGCCCCACCAAAGGTCACTCTTACCCAGAGGCGCTCCTGCGTGTAGCCGAAGGTTGAACGATCCACGCGGCGTCAGAAACCAACGCCCGGGTCGTCGCGGCACGAACTCCTCCTCCTCCTCCTCCTCCTCCTCCTACTTCTCCTCCTCCTACTTCTCCTCCTCCTTCCCCCCATCCAACGTATGGTGGTGGTGGCGGCCCCTCGTCTGCAGAGGGGGGCGGCGCGAGGGCGAGAGGACGGTCAGCGCGTCGTGCCGCGCGCCTGGCGCGTGGGGCGCGATGGCGAGGCGGCGCCACTGGCGCGGGCTCGCGAGGTTGAAGGTTCGGCGGCGAGCGAAGGGGGGGAAACGAGAGGGCCTCTCGGAAGGCGGCGGGACTTCTCCGAAGCCCTCGGGCTCTCTGGAAAGCTTTCCGTGTCTTCGGGGAGAGCTCTGCACATCTCTCAGAAGGCCGGGGGACCTCCGAGCCCTCCGAGGCGGCCCGCCCTCTCTCGTTCCACCCCAGGCGCGCCGCCCATGGAGGCCACTGGCGGCCTGAAGCAGGCCAGCCTTGAACGATCGCCGCGGTCGAGAAGCGGAGGGCGCTCGAGATTTGACGACCCGGGCGGTGTCAGGAAGCAGCGTCCACGCCGGCGCGGCGGGAGCCAGCCATCGTACCAGGAGGAGGTGTTTCCTCTTGGTGCACCCCGCTTTTCCCGACGGAGAGCAGCTCGCCCCTCTCGGCTCGCCCATTGCACTGCCCGCAAATTGCCGAGCGACGCACACATGTCACCATTGACGGAGGAGGTGCGGTACAGTGGAAGCCCATGCCAAGAAACATCCTGCTTGCATCCAGGGTGCCCTGGGTTTCTTGGGATTCGATGTTTCTGCTGTGGAAACCGTGACGTCCCCACACCAAATATCAGTGTACATCCTAGAGTCTCAGAGTTGGGTTTCTGGTGGAAGGTCTCTTGTGGTCGAGCTCCTACGGTAAACACTAGTCTTGTTTACCCCCCCGCTTCTTCCCCTCCCACGTCTGATCGCTGAGAGGTGGCCCGCGCGCTGGCGTCGCTGACGGACCCCCTCCTGGACTCCTCCGAGGACACGCCTCGGGCGCTCGGGGCCCCAGCAGCGGCGCCCATCAACTTCGCCCAGCTGCTCAAGACGATCCTGGCGCGCTTGAGTCAGGGCGTGTACCCGCTGCTGTTGTACTGTCTCGTCCATCGCAACCCGAGCTTCCAGAGGTACTGCTTGTGCCGTGTGGACGCCGAGGAGGTGGTGTTGCCCATCCTTGAGGTGCTTTACCAGGCGCCAGGCTCGGCGGAGTCCTTGGAAGAATCCATGCCGCCTGCGTCGGTGACAGCGCTGACTCTAGTATTGCTCACGTTTACAGGGGACCGGGCCTTCTGTGAAGGGGCGTCCCGCATGCACGTGCCACACGGGCGTTGGTCGCATGGCAACTCCAGGCTTCTGAACGATATCACCGTGTCGTCTTTGCTGGTCGTCGTGCTTCTGCGCCTGGCCCACTGGAACTTCTCGGCCGGCAAGGACGCGTTCTTCAACAGGGCCATCGCTGGCGTCCTCCAGAACCTGGCCTTCCACGGCGTGGAGCAGCTCCACTGGCACGCTGCGGACAGGCTGCTGGAGGTCTGGCCATGACACACAAACACACACTCGCACGCCGAATTCACCAACCATATGTCATCGGGCTCGCAGACGTGTCCCCACCCTGGAGATACTGCGGCTTTCATCGCCCCCGCCGAGACATCCTCAGCGTCGGAGCGCAAGACAATCTGGGACCCGAGGGAGAGTTCCAGGGGTCGCCGGAGCTGACCAGCCCGCGCGGCGGTTGGGCGCTGCGTCATGGGGGGTCATAACTGGGGGAGTGGCGAGGGCGGCCCGAAAAGGTGACCAAACGGTGCCTGAACGAGCCCCCTAGGGCTCTGGAGGGGCCCGGAAGGGGCGCGAGAGGGGACCGCTTTTGGCCCCCCCAGAGAGGACCCCCCCACGAAGCCACACGCCCAAGGCGGCCTCGGCGCACAGCACTCCACGCCCGAGGCCTGGGAGCTCCCGGCGGCACGCCGACCCCGAGCGGGCCACGGAAGGCCACGGGAGGAGGAGGAGGAGGAGGAGGAGGAGGAGGAGGAGGAGGAGGAGGAGGGCCCCCCACTGCGCCCAGTGGTGCGGGGCCCCGGGCGGGCCTGGCCGGGCCCGGCGTCGGTGTGCGTGCGGCGTGCTCTCCCGCCAGGGCGGGCCGAGCCCGCGGCCCGCGAGCCAGTGAGCGCCCAGCGGGCAGGGCCGGCCCGCCCCGGCAGGTCACGCGGCTGCTGGCGCGCAGCGCCCTCCAGGCGCCCGCGCCGTGCGAGGCAGAGGCCGCCGCCGCCACCCCGCCCGGCGGAGCCGAGGAGCAGCCGTAGAAATCTGGATGGCCCCGTCCTGGGCCACACCTTGGAGCATACAGTGCCGTTTTGAATACATGCTCCGCGTGCGGATCATGTATTAAAAATGCGTTGACGATGACCATGGCGATGACGTCGTCGTCGTCGTCGTCAGGCCTCCCCGCCTGAGCGGGAGCCAGTATGCCCCAAGGTCTGGGCCGCAGAGAGGGGGTAAGCATGCTGGGTGGTGGGGGTGTACTTTTAAGTCGGGCCTGTCCCCCTACAGGGGGACTTTCGACGAAAAATAAAAAATACCCCCAAAATAAACAAAAAATAGTCCAAAAATAGTCTGGGGACTATTTTTTGAATATTTTTTGACCATTTTGGGTTTTCTTTAAGGGTATTTTTTATTTAGTCGTCGAAAATCCCCCTGTAGGGGGACACGCCCGACTTAAGTGTACTTTCCTTCTCCCTGCAAGACGGTCAGCTCTGGAATGTGTTCCAAAGCTTCTCTCTCTGGGCTTCTGTAACTCCCCGTCCGATAGGAAGAGACCCAGGGCGGGCTACCAGTTGTCGGCGGCGGCGCTGGAGCACCGCAGTCACTGGCCGAGCAGCATCGAACCAGGCTTCGCTGGGAGTTCAATGGGAGATGATGATGAAGATGATGCTGATGAAGATGATGATGGTGACAATGATGATGACGAGGATGACGATGATGATGCTGATTATGATGACGACGATGATGATGACGAGGATGACGATGATGATGCTGATGAGGATGATGAGGACGATGACGATGCTGATGATACTGATGATGATGACGATGACGATGCTGATGATGATGACGATGATACCGATTCTGATGATGGTGATGATGCTGCTGCTGATGATGATGCATATGGTGATGATGGTGATGATGATGATGGTGGTGGTGGTGGTGAAGATGATGGTGGCGATAATGATGATGATGATGATGATGATGATGATGATGATGATGATGATGATGATGATGATGATGATGATGATGATGATGATGATGATGATGATGATGATGATGATGATGATGATGATGATGATGATGATGATGATGATGATGATGATGATGATGATGATGATGATGGTGGTGGTGGTGATGACGATGATGATGATGGTGGTGGTGGTGATGATGATTGTGATGATGATGATGGTTCTGGTGGTGGTGGTGATGGTGATGGTGATGATGATGATGCTGCTGCTGATGATGCAGATGATGGTGATGATGCTGCTCATGAGGATGACAATGATGATGATGATCATGATGATGATGCTGATTATGATATGACGATGATATGATGATGATCCTGCTGCTGCTGATGATGATGATGGTGGTGGTGGTGGTGGTGATGATGGTGATGGTGATGGTGATGGTGATCGTGATGATGGAGATGATGATGATGATGGTGGGTGATGATGATGATGATGCTGCTGCTGATGATGCTGATGATGATGATGATGATGATGATGATGATGATGATGATGATGATGATGATGATGATGATGATGATGATGATGATGATGATGATGAGGAGGAGGAGGAGGAGGAGGAGGAGGAGGAGGAGGAGGAGGAAGTGGAGGGGGAGGAGGAGGAGGAGGAGGAGGAGGAGGAGGAGGAGGAGGAGGAGGAGGAGGAGGAGGAGGAGGAGACGGAGGAGGGGGAGGGGGAGGATGACAGTAAGCGTGTGTGAGCACGCGCGCTCAGTGGTGCACGGTCTATTTCGTCCCCTTGAATTGGGTGTGTGCCGCCTCATTCCATCTTCCAAACATGATGATGTCTTGAGCAGTCGGCATCACCCCATTCCGAGCGTTTCTCCGCAGGGTCAGCGTCGAGAACCCTCTGGGGTATGCCCATCCTGGCTCCTCCGCTGCGCTTCCCTGTAATTAAGTATCTCTGGGCGCCCGCGGGGCCACGTCTCGCTCTGGCTCTCGCTTTTGCTTGCCTGCCTTCTTGCCTTCGTCCCGAATGCTGCCGCTTCCCGATCCCTCGTCGCCTCCTTGGCTTCCCTGGCGGCTGCCGCGGCGGCTGGCGCCGCGCCCCGCCTGGCACCGCGGCCGCCGCCAGCGCCGCCGTTCCTGACGCGCTGCCCACTGGCTTGCTGCCGCCTGCGGCTGGCCTTCGTTGGCGGGCCGCCGGGGCTGACGGCCGCTTCGCGGCCTTGGCCGCTGCCGCGGCTGCCGAGGCTGTCGCGGCGGCCAGCACGGGCGTCGCGCCGGCGCCGTCTCCGCCGCCGCGGCGGCCCGTGTGCGGTCCTGTTGCCGTCTGGGAGTCAGCGTTCGAAAGCCCAGGGTTCGCTAGGGACTTGTGTCCTCCAACAGACGGCGAAGATCCTTCCAAAAAACTACCCGAAGGCCTCCGAAGAGCCTCCCGGAACCCTGCCCAGGGGGTTTTCGCGGAGGGTTCCAGGAGGATTTCGGCGGTTGTGAAAGGAAGCCAGTCCCCAGCGAACCCTGGGCTTTCTAAAGTCAGCGCTTGACTGTGACCCACGTCCAAAACAGCAGAAACAAACCCCGAGCATTTTCTTTGGGTGGAGGGCAAAGGGTGAGATCTGAAATGCTGTTTCGATGGATTTCCGAGTCTCGAATCTGCAAGAGGTGAATCACAAGACGCATTGACTTTCGAGGTGCAAAAGTCTGTATGGATTTCACCCTGAGCCCTCCACCCCGAGAAAATGCCCAGAAACTCAGGATGGTCCGGGAGCTGCTGCGGGCGCTCCTGCGGCTGCTGTCGGGCTGCCTCCGGGTGCCCCTGGCCGCGCGGAACTGCTCCCTGGTCTGCGCGCTGCAGAGCTCCTGCCCGCCGCAGCTTGCCGCGCTGGAGGCAGGGCGACGGGATCCAGACATCGAGCAGGGGATCGACTGCAGAGTTGATCTGCCCCAAAGTGGATCTGTTCGTCGAATCCACGAGACGTGCGTGAGTTTTTCGCAGGTCTACGGACCTTCTACGTATGACTCGGCGAGATCGAACATCCATTTTGGGGTAAGTCTATTCTGTGTTCGATCCCCTGCTCGAATACATATTCAGCGCTTCTGGCCAGGCCCACCGTGGGCTCAGGGTTTGGTCGGGCATGTCCCCCCCTACAGGCGGCTTTTGGACGGGTCTCCGGATGAAAAGTATCCCGGCAAGGTCCCGGGCAGGTCCCGGGCAGGTCCCAGCATGCTCCCAAGAGCGCTTCAAGTGGCCTCCAAGAGAGCTCAACATGGTCCGAGACAGTCCAAGAGCGATCCAGGACGCCAATTTGGCCTCCCGACAGCCCAAGGCGCCTTCAAGACGCCCGAAGAGGCCTCAAGAGGCCTTCCAAGAGGGCCCACAGAGGCAGAAATTTTGTATTTCTTTACAGTTATTGAAGGTTTTTGGTGTTCTCGCTTTTTCGGCTTATCGGCGCTCCAATACGGCCCAAGCGGCTTCCAAGACCGCCCCAAGACGGCCCACGAAGCCTCCAAGAGGGCCCCAAGACGGCCCAAGATGGCCCCAAGACAGCCCAAGAGGCGCCCAAGACGGCCCAAGAGGGCTCCAAAACTGCACCAAGAGGGGCCCAAGAATGGGACCAGGAACCGAAAAGTCCAGCCTTCAGCCCCGAGAGGCCCCATGAGGCCCCAAGAGGCCCCAAGGGGCCCCCAAGAGGCACCCCAAGAAGCCTCAAGAGGCCCCCAAGAGGCCCCCAAGAGGCCCCAAGAGGCCAAAACATGGCCCCCAAGAGGCCTCGAAATTGTCTCCCAGAGGCCCTCGAGAGGCCAACCACGTGAGCCCAACCAACATCCATGAGGCCTCTGACCCACAACCCACCGCCTCCGAAAAATGGCAGCCGCCCAACCGCACCGCATTGACAGCAACACCCCGACAAACGACAGCGGCGAGGCAGCATGGGCCGGCGGAACGAGCGAAGCGATTCAATGACAATTAGCCAACAAAAATACACCAGAAATGCTCAAACACAAGACTCCAAAAGTCGCCCCCTGACTATTTGATGGTTATTTTTTGATATTCCTCCTGCAGAGGGACGCGCCCGACCTAAGCCCAGGGAGCGGTGCCTACGCGCCTCCCAGCTCGGCTAGGACAGCGTGTGCACGCCGACCAGGGCCCAGCCAGCGTGGGCCCGGCAAGGGGCAGTCTGTGCATGTCGGAGCCTAAGATTGAGTCGGGCGAGTCCCTCTACAGGAGGATTATTCAGAAATAGGGCAACAACAATGCATGGACGATTTTTTTAATCTGTTTGAGCATTTCTGGTGTCTTTTTGGGACTATTTTCCATTTTTCGTCCAAAATCCGCTTGTGAGGGGGCATGCCCGACCCAAGCCTAAGAGACGGGGGTCAATGCAAACGGGGGTCATCCAGGGCACCAGATCCTGCAGGATCCTGCGAAGACCCCTTCTGGCTGACCCGGGTTAGCGAGCCGCTCGTGGCCGCGAGGCAGCCGCGCATGTTGGCTGACCCGGGTTGGCAAAGCCATGCGCTGCATTTTTTTGGGTTTTTTGTTTTTTACCCTGCATTGCAGTTTTTTGGTCTCCTGCTGACTCGGGTCTGACTGATCCGGGTCCGCAGATCCCCGAGCATGGATCTCGCGTCGCCCTCTGGAGGGGGATCCGGAGTTCGGCGCGGCGCTGTCGCACGTGCGGAGCGCAGTGGCCTGGTTCAACGAGCAGTGCCCGCCGCAGGCGGGCGCGCGAAGGGGCGGCTCGGGGGTGGCGACCTCCAGCGAGCGCGGCCTTGGGGCACGGGGGCCGCCAGAGCTTCTGGCGGCTCCTGGCCCAGGCTCGCACGCACGACACCGGAGAACAACCCGACGTGAGCCCAGGCATCCCACGGGGTGGCGGTTTCGATGCGTGGCCCCACAGGTCCCGACCGCTTCCCCAGGGCGGTTTCGTCTCGGTTTCGCTTTCGATGGACCTGGGGACCGTTCACAGCCCCCGATGGCCGATATTCGGCGGCGCGCACGGGGGAAATGAGAGGGCAGGCCTTCTTTCAAGGTGGCGGGGCGTCTCAGAAGATCTCTGGCCTTCTGAGAAGCCGTCTCTGCCTCTGGAGACGGCTCAGGATGCTTCTCAGAAGTCCAGAGGCCTCCCGAGCCTCCCGAGAAGGCCCGCCCCCTCTTCACTTCCCCCTGGGCTCGCCGCCGAGACATCCAGGGAGAACGCCGCGTTCTATGTTGTATTACAACAGGTTGCATTTATCATGTTATATGGAATGTTTTCCTTGTATGCTGTTTCATATTTAACCGCTTTGTATTATAGTATGTTGCTTATATCTTAATCATAGTACATCATGCATGTCAAAGTGTATATCCGTAAGGGCTTCGCCCCATGCCGCCGGCCCCCTGTCTCGGATAATGGGAGATGCAAGAGCTAAATCATGAGGTCTGGGCGCCGCCGTGAAGCAGTGTCGGAACCTGTTTGTTTTTCGACCCTGACCCTACGGATCTGCGTCACGGGTTCCACCGAATTTCAGAAATGTGGCAAATCCCTTATGTTTTTGGGCCCTGAACCTACGGATCTGCGTGAGGGGTGCCGCCGAATTTTAGAAATGTGGCAAATCCTATGCGTTTTTGGACCCTGACCCTGCCGATCTGCGTGAGGGGTGCCGCCGATTTTCAGAAATGTGGCTAATCCCATGTGTTTTTGGACCCTGACCCTGCCGATCTGCGTGAGGGGTGCCACCGATTTTCAGAAATGTGGCTAATCCCATGTGTTTTTGAACCCTGACCCCGCCGATCTGCGTGAGGGGTGCCACCGAGTTTCAGAAATGTTGCGAATCCGATGTGTTTTTGCACCCTGACCCCGCCGATCTGCGTGAGGGGTGGCAGCAAATTTTAGGAATGTGGCGAATGTGGCAAATCTTATATGTTTTTGGACCACGGCCCCGCCGATCTGCATGAGAAGTGCCACCGAATGTCAGAAATGTGGCAAATCCCATGTGTTTTTGGGCCCTGACCCCGCCGATCTGCGTGAGGGGTGTTAATTTTTATTCACCCCAGCAATTCAGAGCACATGCTCAGGGCGTTCCATCAACAGGGAACAGTAAGCAGCAAGAAGCAGAACTGTAACAGTGGAAATAAGCAGCAAGAACCATGATTGTAACAGTGGAAACTGGAAGCTACAACTGGTACAGGAAGCTGCGAACCTTAGGCCTACAGCCTGGTTGCCCCACGAGGGGGCCGGCGGATTGTAATGATATATTATAGTCTGTCATTTAATTACCGATTACAGCGTGTTGTATTGTAGCTGAGTTTGGCATGCCGTATTATGGTAATTCGTTTTTTTTATTTTCCATTCCATATTTTGGCATACCGCATCATTTCACATTATCCCATTTTATTACATCGGATATCTTATTCGAATATATCATTTCTATTTCACAACAGTGTGTCACATCACATTACATTATATCGCATAGAGTTATATGCTTTTCCACTGTATGGTTCCATGTTTCTACTATAATACAGTCTATAACATTACGAGCTAGCATGTTGGATTCATTTATTTGGTATGATAATACATTGTGGTATAGTTCATAATCATTTTATATTATACTACATGGCGTTATATTTGAGCACTGCCTATATTTCTAAGTTATCTCGTAATATCTATTTCATCGTATACTCCTCAGGAATATGCCATACTATCTTCCACTCTGTGATATTGCATGTATTGCATTTCATTGTTGATCGGAGTCTATCTTGCATGGTAATCCATGATCTGGTCTTGTATATATTAGGCTGCATTTCTTACTAGCGTGCCACAGTATCATATTACAGTGTGGCATAATAGATGTTAGTCTATTCTGTTGTATTATATTATGCTGTACGGGTGTATATAAAACATATATTACTTTGTATACCTCATTGTATCCCTATCACTATTTGCACTTTGTTTGTATACATGTGTATGTGTATGTGTGTATGTGTATGCATATGTATATGTGTACGTATACGTATATGTATATTTGTACATGTGTAGATGTACATGTCGATGCATATGGAAATGCATAGGAATGTGTACATGTGTATGCCTATGTACATCTATACGTATATGTATAGGTGTATATGTATACGCATATGCATATGCATGTGTATATGTATACCATGTGTATGTGTATATGTATATGTGTATGCATGTTTAGGTATATGTATATGCATATGTGCATGTATGTGTATGTGTATGTGTATGTGTATGTGTATGTGTATGTGTATGTGTATGTATATGTCTCTATGCATGCGTCTATATATAATACATATGTGTGTATATGTACATGTGCATGTAACTGTACATGTATGTGTGTATGTATATGCATATGCATATGTAAATGTGAATCTACATATACTTTAGAAACAGAACGCCGCTGTCGAGGAGATCATGCCGTCGGGGGCCCGAGCTCCCTGACGCCATCGGCGCAGCACTGGCCCAGGGAAACCCCACCGGCCCCGAACGCGGAGGAGGCCCCGCGGAGAGAGACAGTGGCGACCCTCCCTCGGGCGACGAAAGCTGTACTCAGACCCGCTTGCGTTTCGAGTATGAGATCGACTACAGATGTCTTGCCCCGAATGTGATGTGTTCGTCAAATCTGCGAAAAATGCGTGCAATGCTTGCCGATCAGCGAACTTTTTACGTATTGTTTGTACATTCGACGAGAACATATTGGGGTACATGAATTTTATAGTCGATCCGCTACTCGAGTTGTGTAAAAATCACGACGGGATTTCTTTTGCAATTCTCGGCCTCTGGGGATCCTTACTGGGCCCAGGGACCGTCAAGAAACGTCTCCAGATGAAGAAAACCGGTCCCGGGGAGAGGGTCCAGATTTCTGTGGGTCGATGTTGTGAAGAATTGTCGCAGCGTCATGGGTGCGTATCCGCTGCTCCCTGACCAGACCCAGCCTTAACCCAGGAGCTGTGCATGCGTGGACGTGGCTCGGCACGGAAGCAGTGGACCTGTGCAAATTTCGTCGCCCTCTCGCCGCCCAGCAGGCCCGGATCTGTTCAGCATCGGACCCCGAGATCCGACGTTGCCAAAGAGTTGCAACCGTGTAAAAGTCACGCCCGGAGCCCTAGACCCCATCCTTCTGGGCGTCCTTTTTCGAGCCCGATCGGTCTGTGAGGCCCCGGGGGCCCGAAAAGAGGCGACGCCGCCCGGCTCGAAAAAATTGAGACCCTAGGACATCAGGGAAGCCCGGGCCCCTCCCGGAGTCCACCCCGACAGGCCTCTCGGGGCGGAGCCGGCCGTGGCGACGAGAAGCCTCCGGGAGGCCCAGCGAGGACGAGAGGCCGTGTGGGAGGGCCGCCGTTGTCTCGGCGCGGCCCCCCTCTCGGCACGACTTTGAGCCTCCCAGACGGGGCCCGAGCAGACGGGGTCGGAGGATCGCGCTGCATCGCCGATGCGTTGACGATGTGGCTCGATGTGGAGTCTGGAGTTCTGCACGGTGACGGCGCCTCCTCCTTATCCTCCTCCGTATCCTCCTCCTCCTCCTCCTCCTCCTCCTCGTCCTCCTCGTCCTCCTCGTCCTTCTCCTCCTCCTCCTCCTCCTCCTCCTCCTCCTCCTCCTCCTCCTCCTCCTCCTCCTCCTCCTCCTCCTCCCTCTGTGTGTTTAACACGCGCGGCCGTTGCCGATACAGCACGCCCCTGTGATGAGCAATTTGGCTGCTCACGGTCTGACCCTGCTCGCGCGCCAACAGGACGCAAGGCTTCTGAACTGAACTGAACTGAACTGACGGCGCCGATGCATCGGCGATGCATCGGATCCTCCCGCCCCAGCTAATCACTCGGACCCCACTTGAGCGGTGGAAGAGAGCGGGATCGTCTGCGCCGACACTGGCGCGTAAGATGCACGCGTAAGGCCACGCAGCGTGCCGCGCCGGCGGCCCGCGTCAGCCTCGGCGTAAGGTCGCCATGCCGTCTCGCAGGAGACCCGCTTTTTTCTGTCGTCGTCGCTCGCTCGAAATGCCTCTAACGACGCCCGCGGAGGAGGAGGAGGAGGAGGAGGAGGAGGAGGAG